GGAAGGAAGGAAGGAAGGAAGGAAGGAAGGAAGGAAAGGAGGGAGGGAGGGAGGGAGGGAACAAATGAATTGGGGAAATCTGAACTGTCATTTGATGATAAGGAATTAATAATCTGCATTAGTTCTGATACTTGTAGATGTTTTCTAAGTCTTTTAGAGTTACGAACTGAAATATTTCTAGATGAAATAATATGTGGTTGCTTCAATACAGTCCATGAACTTGAAGAGAGTGGGTGGAGGTATAGATGAGACAAGACTGGCCAAAATCCATCATTGAAGCTGGTGATGGATACATTGGGATTCATGATACTGTTTTCTCTATTTTTGGTATATGTTTAAAATTTTCCTTAAAACAAAGCAAAAGCAACAGATAATCTGCTGTACTTTTTATAAAATGGTTTCTATTTGGGTGGGAGTCTGGTCTAGCTGTTACCTTAGGTCATTATTAATTTGATAATTCTTACTGTCTTTGAAGATAAAATAAATAGCCAGTAATGATAGGGAATTTAGTTAGAGGATAATGACTGGGCTACGTAAGTATTCCCAAATTATTTAAAAACTGACTAAAAATACAACAGACCATGTTATATTTCATTTAGAAAAATAAATTGAATTTGTACCAACCTTTAAATGTCATCATATTTTCAGTGAATGAGCCAACCAGGACACGTGCACCAAAAGAATCCTTGTACAATCCTGGGTAATCTTCACCAATTATTTTGATGTTCCTACTCAGTATCCCAACATCAGCTGCTAATGCATAACTCTGACCTGTTCCAGGGACATGGTATGTTTCAGCTGCAACAGAAGGACAGCTAGATTATTGCCAATGCTGAGAAATACTTGTATCTGTCTTTGTTAATTTATTTATAGTTTATATGCTAAACAACTGTCTAATATGCCAAAAATCAACAGGAATGCATGAATTGATTAGATTTACATGCCTAAACATATATAGATCACAGACTGAAATTATGATACTCTTATTTATATACTGAAATATAACCATAAGTATTTCTTCTATTTCCACCACAATGATTATTATATTTGGCAATTATGTAGTTATTATTTAACAAAGCTTGAAGGTAGCTTACAATCATTTCAAATTACACATGAAAACACTGCTGTATGCAAATTGAGAAGCGAATTATAACTTTAATAGATGAGAAAATGAGGTAGAGAAGTAAAAGAATTTGCCCAAGGCTATGAGGAGAGTGAGCAGCACATAGAGTAATAAGATAAACACAGAGATGATGATTCTCTCTCCTGACACCTAAACCTTGGTTTGCTCCACTTTTCCTCTGGAATATTTTGTATCAACCACAATTCTTTATAAATATGTAGTAGCATATCAAACACAATCTGTACATTTATATTGTAATGATTTATAAAACATAACCTGAATTACACTCTACATTTATAGAAATCTTATTCAAAACTTTAAGACAAATAGGTCCATTTCAGAGAGAAATGTTTGGTACTTATTTACTTACTTATTTTTTGATTGGAGGAAATATTTAATACATACAGAAAAATGTAAATGACATATTGAGACAGGAAATACAATAACAAAGTGAATACTGAAAATGCACTCAAGAACTAGAATAGTACTAATACCATTGAATTCACCTTATATATCCCCAAAGTTACTCTCTTAAATTTTGCGTTTATTATATCCCTGCTTTTTACAAAACTGTATTACCGCATTTGTATACATTTCTAAACAATATATTATTTCATTTTGGTTTTTTATCAATATACAATGTAGTTGATTTTCGTGTCCCTTTACCGGTTCCTCCTTCCGCCATCTCTCTCCCTGCTCCCACCCAGCAACATCATATCTGCTCACGTCTTAACAAGTTCAAGGAATTGTGATTATTATGTCTTCTTCCCCACCCCACTCCATCATTTGTTTGTGTATTTATTTATTTATTTTTAGCTCCCACAAGTAAGTGAGAACATGTGTATTTCTCTTTCTGTGCCTGACTTATTTCACTTAATATAATTTTTTCTAAGTCCATCCATGTTGCTGCAAATGGTAGTATTTCATTCTTTTATATAGCAGAGTAGAATTCCATTGTGTAGATATCGACATTTTCATTTTGGTTGTTTTCAAGCTCTAAGAAATGGTCACATATTGCAAGTCATTCTGTGACTCACTTTTTTCACTAATACAACACAACCCTGTCGTTATGCATACATGTGGTCCAAAATATTCAAGCATATAAAATGCAGGTCACATCATTTCTGGGTTAATGAAATGATGAGGGCAAGCCGGAAAGGCTAGTTGGCTAGATTTCTGGAAGTCCAGGTGCACAGTTTAAATCCATCCTGGTCCTAACTGCTCCTGGTAGCAGTTGTCTGCTCCTACTGAATATCAGTGGGGACAATTTTGCAATCTGTTCAAAAACTAATTGTATAACAGTTAACTAAACCAATTGTTTTAAAATTAATTGCAATTTAATTATAACGAAAGGTAATATCTTTGATATAACCTTTTGATTTTAAAAAATATGTGATACAGAAAGATAGACACATGTGCTTCTATCAAACTACTGCTTTAAATAGTTCTTTTAAATTTCTTTTTTACGCAGGTCAAATGTCTGCCAGTCTGTACACTTCCTTAGAGCTGGAGATCCCATGAGCATCAGACGCAGCTGAAAGGCTTTTCTAATTTTACATTCATCTGCTCCCACCTCCTGAAGTTCAGATGAAGTTAGCGTGTCAATTGGGGATAGGCTGGGGTGCTGGGAAGGCTCTGCTCCTATAAATGTAAAAAATCATCTTCGGATGTGCTAACTTATTCCTTCTGTTGGGAATTACAGTTTTACCATTTCATTGTAGCTTCTCTAAATGAAGTTCCAACTGGAAATGTATCCATGAAACAAATCAGGACAAAGAAGCTTTGGGATCTAGGGTTCTCAAATTTCAGTGTGCACAAGAATCACCTAGAAGCTTGCATAGAACAAAATATGCCGAGCTGTACCCCACAGAATGAGATATAGTAGGTTTTTGCTGAATATTTGCTGAATGAATGAA